CAGGAGTCACATGTTTGGGTGAAGGAAGTCACGGAGGAAGTCGGAGTGCTCCTGTCACATCCACTCACTTAGACTGGATGGGACGAGCCAACCCCTGGCAGTTTACAGTTTACTTATCCCAGACACTCCATGGGACTGCCATAGGACTGCCGATCAGTTGGGGTGCTTTAGGGGTTCAATGTAAGCATATATGGCATACATGGAGTGTTTGGGTATAGCCCGTCCTTTACTTTTTTTCGACCAGACTCTCAGTCGGGACTTTGGTCGAGGTTGGCGAGTTTGAGATACTGAGATACGGAGAAATACATCCAGTGAAAAAGGTCCAACGCCTCCAGAACAAGGTACTGTTTCACGTCGGCTTCATCTGCAGCTTAAAGAGTTTTGTTAACGATTGTTGTTGGTTTGACATTCAACCACAAGTGCGTCATACTGTAGGATGCTCCTTAGCTTGATTTGGTGTTGTGATTTTATAATCACGTAAATCACCGATGCTGCCTACAACTAGTGCCCCTGGTTAAACCGACGACCTCTATCTAAGGAAGTGGTGGACTTGCTGAACTACTACCGGGACAGAGATGGCCACTTCGATCGATGAGTTTTCTCCGAACAGCTCCAAGCCGAGAGTTTTTGAAGAGATGGGCTGGAGGTCTTTTGTTTTTTGAAGCTGAAGGAAGCATATGGTAAAATCTTACAGGTGGAACTAGGCATGTTGTGAGATATCTACAGTAAGTTGTTTGAGGCGCTTTGACTCTAACTTTCACAAATGGATACACATGGTCTAAAGTTATATATATATACATATATATGTTTTTCCTGGTCTAGATTGTCGCACGTTGCTAGTACGTTTCAGCTTTTTGTCAGTAGTTCAGGATCACATTGCTATACGTTCCAAGACAAAGTGATGATTGTGTATTGTAGGGAAATTCTAGGCTGATTCATAACCAGGTGTTGATTCGTAATCATGCGAGGAGGGCATACCAGGTTCCAATATCTACGGAATTCCATAACAATGTTTGACTGTTATTTAGTTTGGCGCCGTTAACTTTAACTGTGCCCTAGCGGAGATCATCGGAGATCCATTGTTCGACCATGAATTGCATATCAGCATCAGGATCATTCTCGTTGATACCCAATTTAGTTTTGTTTGCAAAAAAGATGCCTTGCAAGTCAAACAAACTACGATTGATTTACAGTAATCACATGGCTTGCACCATCGCTCCGGCCAAAAGCACCAAAAAACAACCCATGAAGCAGCTGGACTGAGGCAAGCGTAAGCGCGAGGACGTCGATGCCTCGGCGATGACCGACGAAGTGTCCGCCGTCGCATCTGCCTTGGACGCGTCCACGGTGAAGAAGATGGAGCTACCGGCACATGTGAAGGACATCAGGCACAGCGGGGTGCTGCGGAGCTGCTCCCCCAAAACAGGGTTAGCGGATGCTGTGAACGGCTAACATGTTTCTTTTTCCCCAACAAGAATAGTTCATGGTGTACAGCCTACTGTGGTCATTGTTACTTGTAATTAGGACACATCCAGGTGCCCCGGAGTCAACGTGCAGAGAGAGAGAGAGAGAGAGTCCGAGGGCCAAGTTTGTCATTTGGATGCTGTGTTGCTCTCACCTGTTTTACCCTGGCAGGCAGTTCCAATATCATGATCACACTGCAGATCCTGGTCGTTGTCACTTCAGTTGTTTTTGTTGTCTCTTGCAAGTTCGCAACGTTTGGTTGTTCCTTTGATGGTTTGGTGGTGTAATTACTACACTCTTAAACCAAAGGGTGCCCCACAGAAGGGGGTGTGGACAAGAATCAAGGCTTTACAGGCTTGTTTCATGTGTTGGGTTGACTGGTCTGTCCGAATCAAAGTAATGTTGTTTGGCGGCAGTTTGGCGTGTACACAATCTTGGATGGGGTTATAGGTTGTAGAAATAGGTGCTTGCTTTTCTTTTCGACCAGCACCAATCCAAGGATATTATCGTCCATTCATGGGGAACGTCGTTGGCTGAGGCATTTGCTCAAGTTTCTGATCTTGGTTTCTTTTTTGTGTGGTGGCGACCCTCTACACTTCTACCGGACTACTACCTTCTAACTTGCAGCAAAGGAAGATGACACTGTGAACACTTCGGGTGTTCATTGGTCTTTGGGGTGAAACGGTTTAGCATCGTTTTTGCAGATGTTTGCAGATGGGTAGACTATGAGTGGTTAGGCTTTTATGTGGATTTCACAAGGGTTGATATTTGTTTGAGTACATGTCTTACAATGATGTGTTTTTTCGGGCAGGTTCCAAAAGCTAATACTTAAACATATAGTGCCTAATATAGTGCATATATATATGCATATTGTTAGTGCATATGTTGTAACTTTCCGCCTAAAAAGTTGTACCCCAAGATTGGAAGAGACACATCTGAAGATATGTCGCACGATTCAGTGGAGTAGTGTCACTGAAGTAAGACCAGTCGGGTGTCATGTTTGGGGGTTCGATGCGTGTCTCCTCCCGAGGTTTGCGTTGGGATGTTCAACTACATGTCACCCTTGGAGAAAGTGGAGCTGGTTCGGTCAGTGGAAGTGCAAGCCACTGGACATGACCTACTGGATTTGCTGTATCATTTGCTGGATGAATTCCTCTACATGTTTGCTACAGAGGCTCGGCTGAAACAACTCAATCCTGGCTGAATCAGCTCCAATTCTGAAAACAAGTCCCCTCCAACCCCAACGGCTGAACCCCTCAAACAGACGAATTGGGCCTTTGAACTCCGACGACGGCTGGTCAAATGAAGCAGTGGATACCATAACGGTTACTTGGATGAATACGGCCCAATCTGATCTTCTCGTTGTGGATTTGTGCGTGAGCCCAGCTTGTCCCTTGGCTCCAAGCAGGCCTTGGAACCAGTTCCTTCTCTCATGGTCTTTGTGCGCACCGACCTAAGGAGATGCTCATTTGCCGATGCATCGAGATCCTGTCCTTTGACCAGGAGAAGTTCTCCATCCGTGCTCGCGGCTACGGAGAGACGCCTGGATAAATATGTTTCTGGCAACCGTTTCTTCGAGTACTTATCCAAGACACGACCCATGTGTATACCATATATGCCGATCAGACCAGGGGTGGTTGAAGTCGGGGTCAATTGATCGGCAGTCCTATGCCAGTCCCATGGAGTGTTTGGGTATGGGTTCCTTTATGTTCCTATGCACTCCTTGGAAGAATCATGGAAGTGGAGCAAAACCCATTTGTTGGGTCTTTGGATTGAACATGCTCATCCGTTCTTTCTGGGCGAGATCTTTCCATGCGCCTTCCACGTGGAGACCCGTGTATGTTTTCTGGAGACCCGCCATGGACATTGTCTTGGGGTCAAGCGACTTTGTGAGCTAGCGTATATTCAGGCTGGTCTTTTCCTTGGTGCTTGTCGTACCTTCTTTTAGCTTGCAACCCTTTTGGTGAACCCTTCAATTTCTATGCTTGGCCCCAAATGAGGCACTAATTTTGCCGGCAATAGCGAAAACGTACTTTGTGGCTTTGGTCCTTTTGATGCCCAACAAAGTGGCCAAAGCCGCCAAACATAACAATTAAAGTATCCTTTGGGGCCAACTTGCGAAGCCTATATAATCCACTGAAAGTAGACAGTGTGTCTTGAACATAGCAAAACTATACGTAAAACTGACGAAGGCCCGACAAAGAAACGCCATCTTCCAGAGCCTGTTGACGAACCCTATATAAGCCATTTCCTCTCACTCCACGGATCGAAATAGATCGACCAGTGGGTGAAAGAGTGAAAGACACATGGGCTGTCACATGGCCATCTCGGAACGAATGACGATGTGCAAAGCTTTTAGAACACATTCTATGTTAGAAGAAGTCGTGAACATTGACACGACCTTGATCGACTCGACTCTGTTTTTTTCAACGACGTGGTTTTCTCCCATTCTGAGGAAGATGGACTTGAAGAAGCACGAGCAAGGCACCGAGATCAAGGCCGCGCCGTCCCACGCCGTCCCCCGAGATCGGCCGTTCAGCGGCGGCAATGGTGCTGGACCGAAAGATGCTCCTGGAAGGAAGGTGTGTTTGAAGGCATGTTGATGCATGTTGAGAGCAACTCACTCAAGTGGTTTGTCAATGTCTTGTTTGACCACAGCACGTTGAATAATAGGTTGCATTTTTGACTGTATACAATATTGTACTATACATGCCTTGTGCGTATGTGTGTTTCTTGTGGCAATCTAGTGGCACACTTGCCCCCCGCCATGCGTTTGTTGATCCTTTCAATTTCAGCCAGCAACTCGGAGGCCATCACGATGCATATGATGAAGATTCTGGATCCAACCAGCATGCTGACGGAAGATGGGAAGTCGGAGCGGCAAGAAGCTGCAGAAGCAGAGTTCCCGTACGAAGTCTACGTCTTGCTGGACATTTGATATCCAGAAAAATGGTGCGCGTCGTGCAGTTTTTGTTGGGGGTATGCACCGGCCGCATCGAACTGTGGCGAACGCTCAGAAATGCAGTGACGGTTGCTTTTGTTGGGGGTATGCCGAGAGGTGATTTGGATTTCTGTTGTTTCCTCTTAGTTCTTTAGAAATCGACCCGTCTTCGCTCTTTTCTTCAAGGGGCACGCAAGAGGCGCAGGTCATCCATGGTCGGTCACCTGAGACCTGTAGGTCTGGAGTGGGATCTTCAGCGACACCGGCGTGGGGGGGGGTTGAAATGTTGGAGATTGGGTTTGGTGCTGTAGCACTGTAACACCTCAGATTTTGGAATGATTCTCTTCTACTCTTCCGGTTTTGTGAATTATATCCCCAGCACTTTATATCGAAGTCCACGAAACGGAAGACAGATTGGAGATGATTGGCCCTACAGGTCCAGTCTGACCCAGTAAAACCTGGTCCTTTTACCGCATTTTTCGCAGGTTTTTAATATATATGTTTTCAAATCACCAACACCAGTAAAATGAGGTCTTGGGACCTGTAGGCTTGGGGCGGGGTGTCAACATTTGAGATGTTGTCGCCTCCCTCGCAGGCGAAGCTTTGCGACCGTTTGCCATGAAGACCCAGACTACTGTGCCGCCTGGTGGCAGCGCCAGTGATGCGATCAGTGGCAACTGGTGCACAAATCTGGTTTGGCTTGTTTCAGAATCCCTGCTCTTGGTGAAGGAATGGTGCTGAGAACCAGCTGGCAGTTGATTGTAAAGTTCTTAGGGGATTTGGATTTGCCAGTATTTTTTGGTCAGGATATCAACTTCAAGGACAGTAAAGGGTCAAAAATGTGTTCATCTCAGAACTGGACCCAGAATCTCCACCTCAATTGCTTGAATGCAAACCACGTTTCCGAACCAAATGTGACCTCCCCTAATCACGAAAGTCCTCCAGATTTCAAAGGGAAAACACCTCACCCCCCGATCTCACCCCACCCGATACCCAGGCCTGGGCTATGGCGCAGCCTCAGCCATCACCGGCCACTTGGAGTGATTCTGAGATGCGGCGCGAAGCATTCTTCAATCCAACTTGGGTAAGTGTCGCTTTGGAGAGGTGACCCAGCTTATATGCAATCAGATCTGAGCGTAATTGCCTTGCCATGTAATCGTATAGCGAAAAAGGGAAAGCCAAGTTCGTCCAGTTTTAACATGTTTTAACATCATCGGAGCGGGATTTTGAGGTCTCGGGTAGGATTTCTACGGGTGACAGAAGGTGTGCATGACAGAGTATATACCAAGCTTTCTGGAAATGCTTATGGGTTACTGGGTTGCATTCATCCCCAAATCCGGGACCCATTCTGAAGATTTGCTGGTTCCATGGCTCACTCATCATTTTGCACTGGTTTGCACGGCTCAAGGGAGGTGACTTCCCACCATCCGATCTGATGCTTTAAGCTTGCTATGGAGAAGCAAACTCAGCGTAGCACTTGTCTTTTGACCCCTAAGTTTGTTGCCCATGTGTTGTATGTTGTGGGAGGAAACCTTACCGCGTCTTTTTCTTTGCAAAAGATCTGTTGGGTTCCGCATCGCGTGGTGAGCTTGTTGAAACTGGTCGATCAAATCATGTTTGGGGATGCCGAGAGTTTTCGTCCGGCGAGGAAGACTCTGGCGCCACTTCGCCAGACCGACCGGTTCACAAGCAAGTATTCCGGGCCTCACAGAATGTTTACAGATCCATGGCCGAAACGATGAACATCTACCAGCACCAGCACCGGGTCGAACATCAAGAAAAGCTCCAGTACTACGATTATGCAGCTACGAGAAAGGAATTGTAGTCAGAATCAGATAGTCGTTCTGAAGCAAGTGCAAGGTCAAGGTCCCTCCATTTGAAGAACCCCCCCAAATTGGGAAGACCTTGAGTGTCTTCTCATGGAAGTAGCCAGGCGCGTTTCGTGGGCGATTCGGCACCGGAATGCACCGGAGGCCATGGCCGAGTTCGTGCGCTACTTGGACTCCTTGGGCCTCTCAGACGTCTTCGCAGCCAAGCGGAGGTGAGCCGGATGAGCCGAGAGAGAGAGAGAGAGAGAGAGAAGCAGAGAGAAAGAGAGATCCACGGGCAAGTGAGACAATGGTTTCGCCGGTCCGATGAAAGCAATGTTTAGCATGGTTTGGATGTCACGTATTTTATTTTCACGGTGAGCCTTGGGTTTTGATTAAGATCTTGAGTCTAGGGTGAGCGGGTGAATCGTTTGTTATGGTTAAGATGGTGGGACCTGGGGTGCCTATTGGCATCCCTGGGTTCGGATGGACCAATTAGATTTGGAGAAAGAGATGGGCCATCCCTTCCAACTTGGAATTACAAAGAACAACTTTGCAAGGTAAGGATGTTTTCCGTGTATTTGCTGAGTTCTATATAGCCGAGGGTTGTGGAAGCAAATCCAGTTTAGTGGTCTCTAGTATACAGATATGTAATGCCTCACAATGACATACTAGGTGTTCTTTAGTTTGACATATCTTCTTGATCAATGCAACCATCATTTCATTGATGATTAACGGCTTCCTTTTCTAGTGATGGCACGTGCAGACGGCACAAGAAGCTAACCACTTGGAGATATGCTGGGACTCCCAAGTCCTTGCGCTCGTCGGCATGGCAGAACTTGTACAACTCATGTGTATACACCCAAAGCCCCTTGGGCACGTGGATTTGCCTTTGGGCATCATGGTGGCGTTCAGATTTCTCGCGCAAGTGTTGTTGGGTTGTGTTCACATAGAATAGGTTGGTTTGTCCCAACGGTCATCTATCTTGATCTCAATCTTTGTTAACCAATACCATTACACCGTGGCAGACTGACATAGAACCTAAAAATAGACCATGGGAAGAGCATTGTCCTCTACAAGACCAGTGTTTTCAGCTTCTATGTTATGCTGCAAGGGTGTCCCCATATCATTACTTGGTGAACAAGTCCAACCTTCAAGTGCACACATCACACATCTAAATCTAAGCTCTGCAGAAGTCCAGCTTCACACATGGCATCTCCACGGTGCCGTGGTTGCCTAACCAGTCAGTGGATAGCCTTTAACCTATTTTGGGGATTGGTCTTTATTTTTTTGCTAAATATAGCAAGACTTGTGGAAAAAGGTAAATCCGCTTAACCTGTTTTTTCAAGGTGCGAAACGGCTCAGGAGTCAGTTTGAAACGTCGAAGAAGTGACATGATCCTTTGGCCAAGAAGTCACCATCACCGAAAAAACCATCCTCAACCCATCTTGTATCATCAGATTTTCAAGAATCATGCACCTGGTCTTCTCCATGCCATAGTCCGGTACCAGGATCCCATTTTCCTCCGCCCAACGCGCAAGACCCTTCCACCACGCGCCGCTCTTTCCATGCCAGGCGCCGCTCTGTCGCCACACCTGCCCGGAACACCGTGCAGCACGCTCCGTTGGAACGTTGGGGATGGCCCAGTCTGGTGGGTTTGGATCCGTTTGGACTGCTCGGTGTGGCTGTGAGATTCAGACGTTTGCTCGGTGTAGCTTCCATTGGTCCAGATTTGCTGGTCCAAGTCATACATGTAGGTCCAACCTGGTTTGTAACGCCCTTCTGATCAAAAGAACAGATGTGAAAAGACACCCTGAAGGACTGAAAGACCATTGGTCCAACCCATCCCTTGCAGGATCGTCTCCTTGCTTCATCCATTCGACCCATTGTTTCGACCCTTCGGTCTGTGTCGTCGTCGTTGGAAGGGTGGGCCCTTCTACATCTCACCCTGAAAGCCTCATGTAGCCGATATCCGACAGCCCAAGATGGCAGGGCTGAGCGATGTTTGACACCTTGAATGTATATCAAGTCTCCTCCCAAGCAGATGTCAAGTCTCCTGGCGGGGGGGTCGCTGTCCACATGCACATCAGTTGCGTGGAAGGCTTGCTGGGGTGTTGTGACAGCGCATGAAACATCCATTGGTTCAGGTAAAACATCTAAGTCGCACGGATGGTTCCCAGAATGGTTGGACAAGCCAGCATCAAGATCTTGTTAGAACCTATCCCCACCGGATCCAGACAAACCACTTATGATTTCATGCTATAGTTGGTAACCAGATGTAACCAGTGATTCAATCAGACGAAAACCAGAGACCGAACGAGGGCCCCTGGCTCCTTCTAGTGGCTGCCTGGGATCCACTGGGTATTTTCGTGCTCATTCTTCCTGCACCCACTCTGGAGGTGACCTGTGCACGTTCCTTCCAAAGCAATCTGTGCAGAGCGTTGTGTGCAGTGGTTTTAAACAGCATGAATTCAAGGAATTCGTTGGTTTGTGCATGTTAGTGTGCTTGAGCCAGCAAATCAGAGGGGTCATGAAATTAGACTAAACACATGTCTTTGGAAGCTTATGCACTGATTGTACCTGGTTTAGGGATTTTCCCTGCCCACAGCAGTTTATCCCATCACTTCTTCAACCCATGTCTCTAGCCGCACAAAAAACCCGATGTTGAAACAGAACCTGTATCTTGCAAGGCCCCAATCGCACGTCTTGGATGACTTGGATGACGCTGGAGGGCGCCAATGGTGAAAGCCTGAGATACCTTCGACATCTCGAAAAGGTGCGGTTGCAACGGATGTACTGCAGTGTTCAAGCGCTGCTACAGCTCCAACTTTTCAGAAGTTTTGAGAATATGGCAAGAACTAGAAACCGAGAGTATCCTACCAACCGCATAATTAAAGGTTTATTGCCTATCACTGTCCGCAAAAACCCAATCCCGAGGCCTTCAACAGCAGGCGCCACCGCCACGCGACTCGCCACCGCAGTGGGCGCCTGGCATTCATCCAGCTTACCTGGCGGCCGCGCAGGCGGCGCCAGCAGCACCGGCTGCAGCGGCACCGGCGGTGGCGCCATCCGGCCAGTTTGGAGGATGGAAGCAAGGAGTCCAGATGGAGCATGAGACCAGGCGTCGTGTTTTTTGGGGAATGGGTTGGCGGGAGCTGGAGATGGAGTGGTTGTGTGACCTTCAGTACAAGTGTGTTATGGTAAGTGAAAGAGCATGCTTGTGCTGCTGTTTCCTTGTTTGTGTCCCATTCATCCTTATCCTGAATTTGGAAACCAAAGACAGCATTTTTTTAAAGTGATGTTGGTGTCATGTCCTTGACAAGCCACAGGAAGCAATGTTAAACGGGACAAGAACAGTCTTATTCTTTCCCTACGGATCAATGACCCCGTTTTACTGCGTCGCATTTTCTACGAAAGTTGCAAGAAAATGTGACTATCAAAAACATTTGTTACTCGAAAGTTTCTTATCGTATTTTCCTAAGTTGTTTCTATATTTAACTCGTTGGTGTTGTATATATAAAGAGGTCTATCCCTATTTGAAGGCAAAAGGCAAAAGAGCTGGTACCTACAAACCCCTCATGCCTTTGGAGGAGCCTTGCTAATTCGGACCTAAATTAGTGAGCAGGTGCCAGTATACACGTTCACCCCTTTACCGTGACTCTAGCGTGACTCTAGCGTGACTCCCCCCCTTGCTCGAAGTTTTGTTTAACAAAAACTTTAAAGAATCAGAAACAAGTGTTGTATATTATATATACACAACACTGTGACTCTACTGTGACTCTAGCGTGACTGTAGCGTGACTCTACCGTGACTCTAGCGTGACTCCCCCCTTGCTCGAAGTGTTGTTTCACAAAAACTTAATGAAACGAGTTTTGTCTATAAAAAACTGTGACTCTACCGTGACTCTAGCGTGACTCCCCCCTTGCTCGAAGTTTTGTTTAAACTTTAAAGAAACAAGTTTTGTATATTAAAGAAACTGTGACTCTAGCCCCTGCAATGCACATGTGTGTTTCCAGGGATCGTCAACTCTGGAGGGCAGCATACTGAGCGATATGCGGTTAAAATTGCACGCGTGAAGCTTGCGATTGCCTACAACGCATGGTGCAGGTAAAAAAAGGCGCTATTGAACTTGTTTTTTTGTTGAAACATGTGCTGCCAGGACTTAATTATATAAGACATATATCTATACATGTTTAACAATTTTTAACGAAACTGTCTTAACGATGTTTTTGAGCGACGAATAAAATATGATGCCGTTAAACTGCCTCGCATTTCGTACATCCAAGGAAAACTGCGTCGTTGGATGTGTAGGGTTTGCTTTGGAGGATGTTCCACGTCTTTTAAACTTTAGCTTCAGTTGAGCAATTGGCTTCGCCGTGGCTTCATATTGATGAGTTGTGATGCCCATACCGGAAGCATCATGTGTAGATGGTCTTGCCAGGGCTGTCCTTGCTGAAGATCAAGTTCTGTAGGGTCCATACCGTGTTGTAGAGCTTTGCACACGCAGCGATGCTGTGAGTGTTGTTTCTGTTGTCGGCAGGTGATGGTAGTCAATGGTTGCGCGTGCGAGGCTTTTCACCATCATGAGCGCCCGTGTTTTTGGTGTCACGGCCATACGGGCTCCCCAGAGGCGTGCAATTTGTGTTTGTTTGTGTTGACCAATAGGACCAATATGTTGATGTTCAGTTACATGTGTGGGGGGGAGGGGGAGGCAAGTTAAGTGACGTTCGTGCAGGCTTGCTTCGGAATGTTCAGGCGGGTTCTGCCTTGTGTGCAGATGGTGCAAAAGCATGGTCAGCCGCTGCAGCCAATCAAGCATGTGAAGAGTCAATGGACGAAGCATGCCAAAGCTAATTCGAAGAACATGATCTTTGGCACACAGCAGCTGGATCGGATGTGGTCGTGGATGAAGAAGTTCATCCCTCCGCAAAGCAGCACCCGATCCAAAGGATTGGTGCCAGGCTGTGGAATAGAGTTGACCAGTGGGTCTACCACCGCCAAGAGCGGAAACCTTGAAAGCAGAAGAAAAGATACGAGTACACTTTATTTGGGAACGTCACAACACAAAATCTGCATTTCGTGTGGGCGGGGACCCAAAACGACGTGAAACCATGTTTCTCAGTCCAGTTCTATTCCTTTTTACCAGCAAATGATATGGTGCATGATTTATATGGGCTTATACAGACTACCCATCCTGACCCTCCATCACCTCCCGGCAAGTTGAAAGGTCAGGTTAAGCTTCCAAGACCTATTTTTGATGGGTATTCACGGGTTGTTCACTACTTTTTCCACGGCCTTTTCAAGCTTCCAGTTCCCATTTTGCAACAGCACCGGTTAAAGTGGTGCGTTACTAGTTGAACTGTTAAACTGGGCCGCCATGCTGGTGAAACTTGAGCCATCCGGTAAAACATGGCTGAAGTCCTAAGGCATGGTTAAGCCAACACGTCGTGAGAGTGCCGGCTAAACTGGCACGAAGACCCACTGGGCTAGAAAGCCCAAAAATTGTTGCGTGGGTGGTGTTTGCACATGTTTCTGTTGGAACCATCGGAGCAACAACGCATCGTAAATGCTGATTTTGTTGAACCTCAGCCAGCAAAAAATGATTGAACCGTCGGAAAACACAGTAAATACCGATGTTCAAACCTCAAGTTGAGCCTCAGCGAGCCAAGAACCGCGGTATTCACAAGTTGTTATGTTGAGTTAGGGACCAAACGCAAATGTTTCACTGCCTTCCTTACTCCCCCAAGCACTTTGTATTTACCAAGTTGTGAGCATGCTGCAAGCAGTGACATGTTCACCCAGTCAGCGCAACCAACGCCGTAATTTACAATGTGTTTACTTTTACTATACCTGAGCTTCGCAAAAAACTGATCAAACAGGGTCCAAAAATCGTTCCCAAAAAGTCGACCTTCGGAAGCACCTTTAAGCTACTCATGAGCGGCAGAAATGATTTTCAACTGCATGGAGGGCAGGGGGATCGAGCCTCAGGCCAAATCCTGGGCAACGCTTTTCCCGGAAAAATGTTTCGCGAGTAACACATTTAAAACTATAATTTCACCAATTGAATTGCAACACTCTTTGTATCCCGGTGAATTTTCCCCCCAGAATGGGGTGTCTTAAGACTAGCGCAAACTGAGGGACCCAAAAACAAAAGTTTCCTAAACAGGAAGTCTAGAAAAGAGAGAAGGGGGGTGCAATTGCTAATTTAGTGGACATTATTTTTGGAACCAAAAAAGGCGAGGGTGCGACCCCCCACTTTCCAGAGAAAACCGCATCGAAAAGATTAGCTCTCAGGTGGTTCGAAAAGGGATAACCAAACAGGACCATGCACTTTGCAGAGTAGACTAAAATGGACTTTACAGAACGAGTGACGACGAGTGTCGGGAAGGCATTTGTTTTGTTTCTCTTTTTCTGTCCTTTATTTTGTGCTTTGCCTTTCCAAAACATTTCAATCATGGATGTCCAAGTGGTTGTCATGAACCTCTCCTTCATTGCAAAATTTGATATCCTCTCCCGGTCGAATCTCTGTCGTCCTATTGGTCTCAGCCCGAGCTTGTTCCAGCAATTCCATGCATGTTGGCTCCGGAGTCAAGTCTGCTGCCTCGAATTTATTTCTTTGGATCTGGGTGGACAGCGGAGAAGGAGTTTTCGTTGCAAATTGTCTGTTATGCTCCATCAAATGCCATCCATAGACGACCTGCGCAAACAACACCAGAACTCATTTGAACAACGAAATCATTAAAAACGAAACAATTGAACGTCTAGAACCTAGACACCGGTAGAGGTGGCAACCCCTCTGACGTAGCCAAGCGGCACTGATTCGGTCCTTCGGCCATTGGTTCATCGAGTGGAAGTTCTGTGAGAGGACCTGAGGCGAGTCCACTGCCAATGCTGGATGTGGCAAACTGTTTGCGTGAAGATCGGCCAACGATACCTAGCATTCTTTGATGGACATTCCAAACCTAAAGTGCACATCGCTACGGCCAGGAGACAACATTAAATTATTCAAGAAACACGGTCTCACAAAATTGAGTCAAAACAAATGAAACTCTGAAAAATGCAGAACCATTGAAGGTGCGTTGCTTAGAGGTACTGGGAAAAAGAGTATGAGCTCAATGCAGTCTACAAAGTTCAAGTGTTTTTCCTTGTTAGTCGATGTCATTTGCTTCAATGAACATTCAAATTTGATGCTTGAAAAGGCAAAGCAGGAGGGGTACACCCCAGAATTTAGTAGAGACAATAATGGCTTTTGGAACGAAAAACCGGGGTGCACCCCTACATTTTGTAGTGATGACAAGATTGCAGCATCTCAAATATGCATTTGTTGGTCCTTTTTTTGATTTTTATCATTTTGTATACTGTAAGATTATCTTGGACCACCCGTTTTGTACTACTAAATGAGGGTGTCTCATAATCACCCAGTGAATTTCAACGGGGATCAATTTGTTGCAAAGCGACGGCAGACCCACGCACCAGTTGGGCTCACGCTCATGTTCATGGGTGACTCTCATCGAAACCATCATTGAAGCAGGGCACATAGAGACGCCTGTGGGGCTGACCTTTCCTCACTGGCAAAGATGGAAATGCGGGGGCCGGGATGAGGCCCACGCGATGTGGGGAGGGGACGGGGTGGGATCTCCACGATGCGTGAAATGGAATTGTCATGGCAGTTTATTGGAAGATCCAACTCCAATGCAACCACCAAGATCATGCAAGACAAGCAGAGGGACTCGCCATGTTTTGGTGCCTTCGAAGAGCCCTGCGACGGAGCATTTGCACGGTGCCGACAACAATCAAAGCCCGGGCCGTCAAGACCAAACTGTTGACGGAAGATGCGTGTTTTTTGATGGAACCCGGCTTTGAAGCAGATCAGCCGCTGTCCATGCAAGATGACACTACCAAGTGGCCACTCACACAGCGTGGTGAGTACCTGAAGATCATTAGAGGCACAGGGCTCACGAACCAAGTGTACTTCCACACGCAGTACACGGATCAAGTGGCCCCAGTTGCATTTGTACCGTGCCATTTGTGCAGGCACTGCAGGCGACGAGCAAGAGGGGAACACCTTCCAAGCCAACGTGAAGGATCTGAAAGTCGGACAGTAAACTGAGCAGTTCAGCCGCCCGGACGACCGAGCCACCTCCTTCCAAGGCGATGGATCCAAGGTGATGGTTGCACGAGAAGCAGAAGCTACACTCGGTGATGGTTTCGGATATTTCTATGTTCAACCCTTACTTGGGGATGATTGGACCCTTTGACGAAAATTGTTCAAGTGGGTTGAAAACACCAACCAGTATATAATGTTTGGACAAACATGTTTGGACAGCGCATGCCTTTGTCATGGCAGCGAATCCCTCGATGTTGGCCGGTCCTGGCAGGTCCTTCCAGCCACGTGGACTGGGCCTCAGGTTCTTGTGCGCGCGGGGTCGGCCTCGTTCTGTCTTCCAGATGATCACAGGATGTTTCGGGTGACGTGGCCATTGGAGTGAATTCGGGTGACCCCCCTACTGGTTTGGATGATCGATGTTGATCCCAGCCACATGCACATGACGGTGTTTGAGTGACCATCCATGTGGGGATTCCTGGCTGAAGATCATATGCCAGACAATCCATGTATTGTGTTTTGACTTAGATTGGGATTGTTTAGGATTCAAATAAATTTGAAAGGTCAGTGTAGGTTCCATGTGTGGAATATTGAAGTATACATATATATATATATATAGAGATAGGGTTGGGATGGTCAACGGGGTGGCCCTGAGCACGGATGGTAACTGGAGATGATGGTCATCTGCAGGAGGCCAAACTGCTGACATGTAGCAGATCCGGAGGCTTTGGTGGCTCCAGTTTTGGATCCACTTTGAATGGACATGGATTTGCTAAGTAGTCACCAACCACCCCCCTACACTCAAATTGAACAACGTATGTGTTGGCTGTTGAGGGCTTAGGCTCAGCGGCTAAGCTGCTTTAGCCCACCACAAAAACAAAGCCCACATGTTTTCTCCTTGAGGCTCCATGTCTTGCTTGAAACCCAAGTCTTTCCCAGTGCGTGAAAACGATTTGGTTTCAGGTCACAAGAGAAGCCTCAGCCCTTGCTTCCATGACATTCGGCGCTGGGACTGGGGGACCCAGAAGGACATGGGAACGACCAGTGTGCAGGTGCTGCTTGGTTGGGAAAGATTGCATCTATGGTTATGCGGATGTGACCCGACTTGGGACGACCATGAAACCTATCCGAATGACCAAAGAGGTGGTGGTGAACACCACTTCCGAACTTTTTGGGGAGTGTATTTGCATCAAATGGAAAAACACATCTGAGTATGCATGATTCTGTTCTTTTGCATACATGATTTGGTAGTTGATGTAGGAATGGCGCAGCTCTCATAATGGGATTGAAGGGGGCGTGAATCTTGAAACGTGTGCCACTATGGTTACCCTGATATTTATCAATTGAATTTGCAGTTTACACATTCTTTGTTTGTTTTCCGGAAATGAACCATGGTTATAGTTATAGTTATGGTATGTTATGGTTATTTTTGTTTCTTTGCCCTAGGAGCGACTAGACATGGGCAAATCCTTTCAGGGAACTTGTCAAGGCCCGGTTCTTATGGATTTTTCATATGTTGTTTTGCGTTTTGTTGACGCAACCCAAACTGAGGTGCGGAAAGTGCCCTTCAGCTGAGTGAGGTGGGCCAGCTGACTGGATATATGACATTTCCTCAGGCAACCATGGGCAGTTCAGATTCTTACTAAGAGCTGGCTGCTAACTTGGGTGGATTCCCTTCGGGCTTCACATTCGGGGCAACTCCTGGCAACTCCTGGTGGGTCCTGGGGTTTGGCTGTTGCTAGGTGCTTTCGCTATGCATAGGGCGCCCTTCCTTGGAAAATGTTTGTTTCAACACTAGTACTGCTTAGGAACTATATAGCCATTTGTGGACGGAACTCAAGGAAGGCTGTGGAAGGCTTGCTGGAGGGTACCAAAGCTAGGAATGCCTGAAAACTGGGAAGTGGGAGCTGCGAGGTAGGGAGAGGGTGACAGGGAGATCCAGGGAGGTGGAGAGTGGAGAGTGGTGGCAAGTCTTGAGAATGGTATGTGGAAGAGAGGGGCACCGCGCTGAAACTTGAGAAGGTGGAGCAAACCAGTCAAAACCGGAGAGCCTGTCGAAACCAGATGACTCCAAGCACCCGAACACTGAAGCGTTGCAAAGCAAGGCATTTGCTTTTTTTTGGTTGATTTCTGTTGTTTTCTACAGTAATCAATCTGTTTTTGATGGTTTTGCAATGCTTTCAACACATTTTTAAAAGAATTGATTTGTTTTGCATTTTCTGCTCAATTTCTAATCTTAAAACTTGTTCCAGGCCAAAACCCCGTAGAGCTACCCAAACGCATTCCTTTCAACTCCGTGCAACTCTGTGCCCGTAGAGTTTTGCGCTTCTCAATGCTCCCAATGCCAGCGCAATGAAAACCATGGAAACAGATATGAAACAGATATCGGCGCCTTACCCGTAGAAGAATGGAACCCAATTCCAATGCTTTTAGCTGGGCTGAAAGCCACCAAAACCACTACGGAAGAGTTTGCCGTGGAACTGTCTGCTAGAAGAAACCAGAACAAACAAAACCGCGTCGTAGTCCACCCCTATTCAAAAACAAACACTATTGGAGAGTGGAATTGCCAGAAAACAGCTGCACCTCAACATTCTGCTAATGTCACAGTTTCGAACGAAATTTGTAAAAGACAGCTAGGCCTTTGACAAAAAAAACAAAACACATTAAACATTATCAAAAAGAAGTATGTTTTAAAGAAAACTACCAAAAATATAAATCATATTGCTTTGGGGGAAAACCTTGAAATCCAATGAGATGAGGGATTTTGTGCTGGGAAGGGGTTTGGACAACCGGAAACGCAACACAAGAGAGCAGGAATCCCCTAAGGTTCGGGAAGGTGGAGCTTTGCGGCAAAGTGAGCTGCTCCGCCAAAGGACCTCTAGAGAAACTATACCTTCACACTTCACAGCACGGTCTAGCTATATAGTTCCTGTTAGTGAGGAGAACACAGTTGCGTACGGAACTGAATGGCGCTCGCCACACAGCAACAAAGGCATCGACCCAGGCGCAGTCTAAGAACAGCTTGAAAAGAAGAACAGACTTGAAAAATATGACGGCTTTTGAGGGAGCGCGCGCGCTCTAGCATTGGCACATCCAACAGCAAGGCAGCGTGACCTAAACCAGATCCGAAAGTGTTTTGTGCAAGTTAGCAGTTCGGAGTGCGCTCATGAACTTTGACTCGGCGCGCGAGCGCCCGGAAGAAAAAGCAGCGCCATGCAATCCTTGCGCCATGCATGAACTGGGAAACCAACATAGCACATCACGCTTTAACGGGCTTACTTGCAAGCTTTCCTTGTTGGTGTTTTTTTAAAAATTGAGTCAGTACACCCCACCTCTTGTAAGGAACCTGTCAAAGCTTTTGGAAAAACTGCCACATGATGCTTGAAGCATTTCAATTGCTCACAGCAACTTACACCGCTAGTGTTGCGTTCAACTTCCTGTGCGGCGATTTCAAGGCTGGGTAATACAAGTAGTTCGTGGCTTTCTCAGCGCATTGGCGAGATTGAGGTCTCAAATGGCGATGGCAGCTGCATCTGTGACCTGGCAGCTGCATCTGTGACCCGGCTAAAGTAAAACAGCATAACATCGAAACGCTCAAAGAATCGCAGATGGCAACTGAGGGTTGCAACCACATCAACCTGCGATGGAACGCGCCAAAGTGCGAATGGTGGGAGGCTAGTTGAGAGCATGGGGATCATGTTCAATAGTTGAGGCTAGTTGAAAGGCTAGTTGAGAGCTAGTTTCTGCCAGGTCGGGCGCATACAATGGAACTTGAAGGAGCACGACCACTTCATTGATTTTGTGGTCGAGCTGCCGGAGCCAAAGGACGGGATCATGTCGTGTGCTCCTGAAAAGCTGCCGAAACCCACGGCCGTCAGGCTTACTCCGAACGCCTCGTCGACATCGAGATCTCGACAGAGAAAACGCGCAGACGTGCCCATTGGAGAATGCATTTGTAAACAAATCTTATCAGGAATCTGGCGTCCGCTTTGAGCGCCATGAGCTGGTATACGAACCTCTCGAGGAAGGCCCGCCCATAACAAACAACAAAAATGCACTAATGAAGGCATGAAGCGCAACATCTTTTGGCCATTCCGCCCATGATCCGACCATGACCCGAGACCTTCTTGCAACCGCCGTTCCGCGGAGCTTCCCCGTCGAGGTTCGGAGAAGCATGGAGGTTCACAAAGTGCTGTGCCTGCCACGCAATCTGCACATGCAGGTTCACAAAGTGCTGCGCCTGCCACGAAATCTGCACATGGAGGTTCACACAGTGCTGTGCCTGCCACGAAATCTGCGCATGGAGGTTCACACAGTGCTGCGCCTGCCACGAAGTCTGCACATGGAGGTTCGCAAAGTGCTGTGCCTGCCACGAAGTCTGCACATGGAGGTTCACAAAGTGCTGTGCCTGCCACGAAATCTGCGCATGGAGGTTCACAAAGTGGTCCGCCTGCACGAAATCTGCACTTAAAGAAACAAGTGAAAACTCTAATCACAATGGAGGGACGATTCCGCCCATGATCCGACCATGACCCGAGACCGTCTCG